TAGGGGGAAATTGTTCGACTGTGCTCTGCTTGGCCGAGTACAAGACTACTTGGCAGTCCTTGAATATGAACAATGACTCACTCGTGAATATGAGTAGCAACGCAGTCGCATCTTAATTGTTAGGAGCATAATCATCAGCACACCCTGCTGACCCTGTTGGTAGACGGCATAAAAGTGAAAAATTACATGCGCCAAAATGATAACCAAATACACAGGGCCTTATTGGAATCCACACGCAGCGAGGCTTGATTACGCAGCATGTCGAAGTCGCTTCTTGCTCAGCTTAACACTGCTTTTTCTCTACTTTCTACTGTGACACCGTTTTTTAATGCAGCTAGATCAGGAGAGGCAAGCTGCTCTCTGCACAACTTGTTTCAGGTACGTGGCACTTTATCGGAGGCATACATGCCACCGTCTGACGACCAGGCAGTCAGAAGAAGGCAAGTGCAACAATTTACTGACTACTGCAGAGCTCTTTATTGTGATTATGAAATGGAGCAATGAAAGGACGATAAACACAGACCGGGTGCCTGTATTCGGAGGATGTATTTGTATGTTTTTCATTGTCTGTATTTATTGTGCTTTCATTGTGCTGTTTCAATAACGATAAACCCTCACCAACTTGCCTAACTATCAGTGTGTCTTAAGTAATGTACATACTTACATTCTCCATTGCAACTATTGACAGTTTGTGTCACATAGGCATAATTTTGCATAGAAAACGCTTACAGCAAAGCCGATGTTGCGCGCATTGGTCGTTGTACTAATTAAGTTTCGACATCGAGTTTCAATCCACGATCACTGCTCATAGAAGCTCGAGGCAAACTATACTTGAAGTCTTCGTGCCACCACAGTCCATAAGCCTTGATACAGAGAAGCAAAATGTGCACAACAATACATGTGCCCTGCCAGTGCACAATTGTCACCAATCTTGGACAAAGTAGTCGCTTGCGTAAAGGAAAGGCACTTGTTTCTGCAACCTATTAGGGAGCACGGTGTAGCATCAGTTAGAGGAAGCAGAGGAAGAGTAAAAGAGTGAAAATAAAAGGTCGCTTCAAAATATATATGAATGAATCAAGTGCCACGTAAGGGCAGTTCTCGTTTGACCAAGTAGTAAAAACTGGAACGTCCGTTGCGCATTCAATAAAGACGACTTGAAGGCAAGAGTCATTCTCTTCTTCCTCTCAGCTGATGTATACTTAAACCTCGATATAACAAAATATCGGTTATAACGAAATAATTAAGAATAGTGCTGCAATATGCTTTCATAAGAAATTTCTGGATATAACGAACTATTTTAGTGTAAGATGCAACTTTGTTATAATGAGCTTTGAGTGAATTGATGCTGCCCCGCCATTCTTTGAAAGCTCCCTGCACCTAATATAGTTTTGCAGAGCCTCCAAGATCAGAGGCAGCTCACCTGGTTTAGCATAGCACCTATGATCGGGTAACCTTTGACCAAGCTGCAACGCAATGTGACGGTACCATCACACGACGTTATGTCGCCTGACATTGTGACGCCAGAGCTTTGCAAAAAAATTTTGTGATCTGTGACATCACCATGCGACACCTCGTGAAGATGACTTTTTTTTTTTCACCACTCGTCCTGATGCCACCGACGTCAGATGTCATCGATGTGGAGCACGGACAGTCAAATTTGGCACTTGATGAGTCATTTAGCGCTTTCACACTAAAACTGGCAGGTGCTCGAAGGCATTACAAAATTGAAGTTATCAAGAGCACTTGTCATTTCCCGTCGCCACATTTCAATGTTACCTGGATATGAATGCATGACTGTCACACTGCTGCCTGCAGGAACTGAAGCATAGCAACTAAGTGCTACAAGACGCTGCCAGAGTCCATGACCGGCAGTTGTGGAAGACGCGCCGAGTGTACATAAGCAGAAGTGTTCATAGCAAGCGACTCTTGCATGGCAGTCTGCGTCCGGCTATCAACAGCAACGCACCACTTCGGCGTATTCTTGCAACCCCGATAATTTCTACGCAGTCTCGCAAATGCGTCCTGTTCATAGTAATCGGCAAACCTCACATTAAGCATGTGGATGACGGTACAATTCCAGGAACGGAGGAGCGAGACAGTTAAGAGGGAGCATCGCTGAATGCGAGAGGAAAGAAGAGTGGCAAGTAAGGCACTCAATACGCCAAGCTCCACTGGCTCACATTTTACCGACATGGCAAGGGTCTATGAAACAATATTTGACCAGACAAAATCACACCAGACACTTGATTTAACAGCTCCTCGACTCTGCCCTTCGGCTTCTCATTAATATTCAGCCCTGTTTGAGATCAACAACTATGAACAATGTGACATTAGGCTGGATTCCTCCAGGCGTGGCGGGTGAACAGGGCTTTCAGGCAGATGAAAGAACGGACATACATAAAGACTGGTACAAAAAGGGCACTATTTGGTACTGCAGCAGATTACCATACTGTTGAATCTGCTTCGTCACTGTTCACAGTGATGTTAATGAAGTAATAAGGCACAACACACGAAGGCACAGTAACTAGCAGCGAGTGTCTGCAATCGTACATGAGCAGACTAAACTTGGATCAACATAAACGTTTAACAAAGTGTTTCTTGACAGTCAATGAAGACCATTCAAAATCGCGTGCCGATTTACACCTCAGAAAGTGGCCATATGAAGTTCATACAATGAATACTAGGATATAGCAATAGATAGAAAGTAAAAATGAAATATATACTGTCACTTAAAAGTGTCCTGCCATGTACAAAACCACAAAGTAGACAGGCTTTTTAACATATGATGTAGTAGCGCAAATTCGATGGGGACACAGAGAAGAAGAAACACAATACTCGCTTCTCCTCTGTATCCCCATCGAATTTGCGCTACTACACCATAAACTAAAATGATATCTCACCAACTAGCCCAACTCTCAACCCTACTGAAATATACAGGCATTAAAATAGAAATAAGTAGTTCAGCGGCATAAAAGTGAACCACTAATAAACAAACAGGAAATTACAACATAAAGCAGGCTTAGGCATGAGCAATAGTCAGACCTGAGTTGTGAAAAAGAATAGAACTAAACTAACACATCATGGCGGCAGGTAGGAGGCCAGATTGTACTGGCAACGGTTATAAGGACATCACAGAGTCACACGAAGTCATCTTGCTGAGCCAAACTACAATAAGCTCTACAGCTCCATATAAACACAGAAGCTGAAACTAAATTTAACAAGTTATCATCCCTATGCTTGAATACTTTCACTAAATTGGGAAGATGATAAAATGTAGGACATTTTTTGGTCTTTCGAAAATCCAGAATTGTGGGGTAGAAACATTAAAAAACTATCGCAGCATTGTGTTTACCACTAAAGCTGTACTTGCACAACGGACGCAATCACAGACGAATCAGTAGCGTGGCATGCAGCGTGATTCGGATCTCTCCGCAGTCAGTATTCAGAAGACAGGAGAGCATTCACGTTAGAAAAATGGATTTTGGCATTGCTACCCTAAGATCCCAAATGTAATTAGGGCCTCTGTCGTTTCATGAATCGTTCTGCACACACTGGAGCAGATATGCAGGAGCAGCTAATGTATAGGTGATGTAGTACCCAATCAGTGGGTTCGTTACATGATTTGGTCGGTCGAGTGAATACAGTTTGACCCTTGCCTGGTTTCTGGGGGCAGCTCAAAGGAGGCTCAAAGATTAGGTCTCCCATGCCTGCCAGACATGGATGGCTCCATGTACGGACGTTGCAGACCAGTTAGCAAATGAATTTATGACAGGCGAGCAGGTTTCGCAGAGACAGAAAATGAATGCAGAGATCAGTGAGAGCAGAGATTGTCCAAGCAAGTTAGCTGGAAAGACACATTCAGCACTGCCTATTGCATAAATCATGAAATAAAGAGAGCAACTGCCACCACATGCAGCGTTGCCCGTTACGGGAGACATCTCCCAAGTGCACAGACCACTGTCTCCAGCATGGAGCACGTCATACAGCCTTATCAAAGTAAAGGTAGTGCCGTAAATAGAGGGCCTACATGCTTTAACGCAATAGCATAAAAGAAAAGCTTCTTCATACTGATATCAGAATTATCTCACTGATTCTTGCATAATTAGTTTGGGACAAAAATATTCATTAAACTGGGTTCGCTGCCAAGTTGGTTTCATTAATATGGATTGATGATGACAACATTGAAACCTATGGGTACGTGTCGGGGAATGAAAAATTAATTGCATCACAGACTTCCTAAAACTGGGCTTTGTTGGATCGAGTTTTAAGCGTAGTGGGTCAGAGCCAAAGGAATGTCAACTTGCATTTCATCAAACACATCTCGAATGGTGGGTTGCACCGCTCAACTACAAATAGACTATACTAGAATGGTCTGTATTGGTACAAGCAAGAGCTTGATGCGTCCATGTTAAGCAAACGAAAGCAAAGCTTTCACAATTAAAGGGGCCCTGAAACACTTTTTCAAGTAACCATGGAATGAATTTACTAGAAGAGCTTATTGCCTCACGAATTGAACGGCACAAAAATTATAAGAATCCGTCCAGTGTGAGTGGAGTTACAAAGATTTGTCGCATGCTGCAATTGCACTCTCTTTTCTCTCATAAGCTAAACAGGGAGGGATGGCAGGGGCAAAGAAAAATGTCAGGCATGCCTTGTGACCTTGAGCACTTTTTCCTTTTTTTTTTTTTCGAATGTGTGACTTTTTCAGAGTGATCGCGCGCGCACGCATCGACAAGTCGCGGCCTCACGCGGCGATCTCTGTAACGACCGAGCGCGCCATATTCAAATCAGCCAATGGCTGATAGATAGCCTTCTACGAGTGATTTTTGAGCTTCCTCTGACACTTGTCGAGAGAAGAGAAAGCAATCTTTAGCTGACTTTGACAATTTATTGTGAATGGTAGACCACGTGCTGTCCTGTGATATTTGGCTCGCGTGTTCTCGGGAGCCTCAACTAATGATCAGCAGCGTTTTTTGACAATGCTCAATGAAAGCTGCAGGGCCCCTTTAAGTAAATTAAAGTGAAGCTTTCATAATCAAGGTCTCCCATGGCAGTGTGGGTGACAACTGCGTTTCCAAGGATCCTTGCCATCAGTTGGCGAAGGTATCGCCAAACGGTAGCCAGATGCTCTTGGGCACAGTCGCATGCTGGGCAATCTGCCAGCCCATCCAGTAGCGGTCTTGGTCGTCTCTCAGAGGGAACACCCAGCAGTGTTTGTCGTTGTGCGAGATGGCACATCTGAGGAATGCGACCGTGCTGTCCTGCTCCCCATAGTACCAGATGGCGGCGACGTCGTGATGCTCTGCAAGCGTGCGTAGAAGCGTCGGCTGCTCCTTGGCCGACAGGACATTGACCACGCCCGGCGGTATGTCCGATGCCTGCAGGATCTGCAAGTGCAACATGCGTGCGGCTGTATTAGCGTGTGATGTCGGCGGCTAGTGTGCTTGTTCCGGCCCTAACCCTTGCAGTGTGTCGCTTTCGTAAAAGCAATGTGTCTGATGTCAAGCAAAGTGCTGGAAAAGGAGCTGCTTCATTATTGAAAATACACGTTTTCTTGCACGTAACCCACAGTGTCAACGAAAATCTGTTGGAAATTTTGAACAGTTGTAACCTTGCATTGGCACAAATCTAGCTTCCTGGAATTTGAGTCAACAATGAAAACAGCGAATGCCTCTTGTAGGACATATGGCACAGCATCCACAAAGCATCCATCGATGTGTAAATGCTAAGGCTTACACTAGCGGCGGCGTACATGCTGGCGCTTATCGCGGCATTGTGCAAGAGAGAAACCTGGGGAACCGCAAAGCACGCAGTGATGGGCCCGTGTTTACGACTGGAACATGCCGATCGCTGCTAATGGGCGATGAGAGACCGAAGGCTCAAATTAGACACAGAGACCCACAGTCCCCTTTTAGTTAAGGCGCGTGCTGTGAATTTTTATTCTTGACCAACACACAGGAGAAATATCGCACTGGCACTACCTTGGAGGCGAAAGTGCCTATATACATGGTGTGGCCAGTGAATGGTTCTGTAGCACGAGCAGTCAGCTTTTTTCAATAAGAAAAACTCCCTAGAAAACACTGCCTGCATTGGCATTGCGAGGCAAGAGAGGGGGCAGCGTAGAAAAGGAGAGAGAAGGAAGAGGATGCACATGCACAGCAAGGGTGGTCACGCTGCACACCAGATTGAACTCGACCATAAGATGCTTCACACCTAGAAAAACAGAAGACAATTTATTGTCATTTTGTACCTTAGTCACACACGCAGCAAGCACTGTGCAATAACAGGTCCCAGCATGATTGCCGGCATCTCCAAAATTTCTGGCAAAGGTCACAATCTAGAGCAAGAACATGGAACAAACCGACGAAAACACACAACACAAGATCCTGCGTAGGAGTAAAGATGGGCACGTGAACTTCTTGTATTTTTTTTTCATCAAAGAAAAGGGTAGCAATTGTGTATGCCAGATGTCTGTTACCTTGTTTACGGTGGAGCATGCCTCTTCTCAGTCACACGATTGATTTGTTACGTCTGCCTTATGTCCCCTGTAGCCTGCTGGATGTCACAGCAGCGTAAACAATCGAACCCCTTTATAAGAGACACTGATATAAGAGACAAATGGGTATAAGACACCAGTGTGCCTGCAGTAGAATACAAGTTAATAAGAAAATGCATGTGAGGTACCTGTTCATAAGAGACATCTCAAATAAAAGACAACAATCGCTGCCCAGTGTGTGTTTCCTATAAAGGGGTTCAAGTCAGGCCGCATCTATAAAGCAGGCCAGTAGCAAAAGCAGGGCTATGGTAGCAGGGCAGTCTCATTGCCATCACTACCAAGCAATGGCGGCACAATTCTTGCTGAACAGCGATCGTATACCGGCGGTTTCTGGTAGTGCCAACACGTGTTTTAGACTGTGCTGACGCATTTTCAGGCTCTGAAAATGTATAGAAATGTTAAAGATTGGGCTTACTGCATAGAAATAAGTATCTGAGCCTAGAATTGCATTTTAAAATTTCCTTGAAGCGGGACTATCGAAGAAAAGGTGTTCGTTGTGGCGACAATATTTATACATAGACTCCTATGAACTGCTGACGGGGAATCTTGAATTTTTCGTTGCAGCGGAAATTACGTTGAAGCGGCGTTCGCTGTAACGGAGTTCGACTAATACTATTTGGTACACGAATGCTGATCAAGCATATCTGTATTTTCGAGAACAACTCTAAAATTTACTTTTTGTACTGCCCCCCTTACATAATGCTTCAACGGAGGCCTGTAATGGTACCTAGATTATAATGAAGGTAGTGGAGATGAGGCTTGACCAAGGGAGAAGAGAAGGACAGCGACGAGCGATCGATACCCACGCTGTTAGTTAGCCCTTGCGGTGTTAAAACCTGTGCCCAGTTGTTCGCAACTACTGCCTTTAACACACCACCACTTCAAAAATTAATAAATAAATAGGTAAAAAAAATAAATAAATAAGTACATTCTTGCACACAAAAGAATGTTGGCAGTACCTGACAGAAGTGCAGTGCCGGAAGCGGCCACTACCGAACTGGCGAGCACGACCACCGAATTGCCGGCCGCCAGGGCCACCGCTAGGGCCGACACAAAGTTGCTCAGCAGGCAGGCCTTCTCCGAGCAGGCTATGCTGATCACACCCATGGGCTCGTTGATGCGGATGACGGTGCCCTTGATGGTCGTGCTCTGCTCGAGGTGAAGAAATGAAAACATGAAAGACAAGTTGTTTATTTATCATTCGTGCATTCTCACTAACCCCACAACCACTTCATAAATAAAATTAGCATAAAAAAACCTATCACACTCAAGCCTCATCATAACGAAATTGTATATTGCACGAATATAAGTTCGTTATACAGCCGATCCCAGATACATCAAACTCGAATATACTGAATTGCTGGCTATATCGAACATTTGAGAAATCCCGTTGAATTTCTCATGCAAAAGTATAAGACTGGTGCACCCGTATATTGAAATCCCACACAGCGTAACGAGCGCTGCACCGCCCCGAAGCCCAGAAAGTGCATTTTTCATGACAAATATTGATAAATTTTGGGCCGCGTTCTAACAAGTTCCGACCCATTTGCCCGAGCAGGTGACGAAAAGGCGGTGTTATTTCGTCGCCCTGATGTGGTTTGTTGCGTCCAGCTTGCGAGTGCAACAGGTATGTCTGATGCACGATCTGTAGGTCTCAACGTGCAGGCAAAGTGTTATTCAAAGCGACCAATTTGCCAAGGACACCCAAATGAGAATGCGAAGTGACTCGGTAATCTCGTTGAAATGTTCACATTCTCTTTCTTGTTTGTCAGCGCACAACGGCATGCGAGCCTGAAAAGCATGGCCTTCAAAATGTGCAGCCCAATGACATATTTTTGGTGTTTACGGTTTTAAAACGTCCATTTCGGAGCTACAAGTCACACCTATATCGCCAACATGTAGACAATAGAAACTCGGCGTGGTCGGAGTTTTCTTTTACTTTTGCAAAACCTTCCGGACTTGTGTACTTCTCACCTCATTCCTCATAAATTCTCATTTGGGAGTTTAACTGCATTCTGTGACTGAACTTTGACCTGAAAATAGCGATAAATATTGCGACTGGCACTTGGCGCGATGTCAAGTAAAGCGCCGCCGTAAACATTCATTGCAGGCCCGGTGATAACTTTGCACTGTGTGTGTGTGTGCGCCTCTCTTTTTGTGCCCTTGTCATGGACTAACCCCAACCAACTAGCCCGGCATCGTATCTTAGCAGATAACTTTGACAGCATTTTTGGGCACTATCTCAGCCACTGAGCGACTTCATCAGTGCAGGTGATAATGTAGCTGATTTTGACTGCATTGATGCTGAGATCATGGCTGCCGTTGTCGGTGCCGCGGAGGTGTATCCGTGCGCTTATGAATATGCTGCCTTCACTGCCGCCGCTAACCAACCTTTTTCCACGCTACAATGCATCGGCGCTCTGCGTCAATCAACGCTGTTGTGGCCGAAGGAGCTGAATTCGCTTATTTGAAAAGTTTCAGTGATATTGAGGATGACTAGAACTTGACAATGCGCAAGAAGCAAGACAATTTCACGGACTATTTTCACGTGAAATAAAGTGCGGTAGCTTGCAGTTTGCACCTTGTTCTTCATTATACTAAGAGCAAATCGTTATGTTAGTGCTCGTAATGATTTCAGAGGTCTTAAATGCTTCAATTTAAGCTTTAAATACACCTATTTTGTATTTTGAATTATCAGTATATCGAAGTATTTCGAGATTCTCTTCGGGTTTGATATATTCGATCCACTGTATCTGAAAATTCATTTAAAGACATACCATATTTACTTGCATATTGAATCCACATTTTTTTTCATAAAATTTGATGCCAATTTGAGTGGAGAGATTATTATGAGGGAGAAAAAAGTCAATGGAGTTATAATAGTGAAACATTCACGGGACGGCCTTGCTTGTTTTGGCCCGTGAAATGCGCGACAAATTTTTTTGCATCCCGAAGCTCTTTTGTTTCCCCCCGTAAAAAAACTGCACGGATCAACTCCGAAGTGTCGTCAAGCCGCTCGGTTCCAATCCACCTGCGTAAATAGCGTACCGGTCGAACGCGCCCTGCGAAGCAGGTCTCCCAACTGAGTTCACAACGAAAATCCTGACAAGAAAAACGCAGTGTCGGATGTCGGCGCATAAACATTGCAGTAGACATTGCGGGTGCACAACGCGCCGCCGGTGCGCTGGGTGCAGTTGCGTTTTGCATGGCCTCCAAGATTGCGAGCGTGCTGTGCGTTCTTATGCCGCAGGAGGGCCATTTTGGAGGCCACGCACTTTGTTTTTGGGCGGCTGCGCTTGTATGGCGCTATCAGCATGAGGTTTCTCCTGTATTCGACAGATGGTGCTTTGCTGTAGAAGGCGGACTTTCAAATTTTGATTGACGTCGTCCGCACTCGCACTGCTCGCAATTGTTTAGCGTGGTTGCAAAACTATGTCTTGATATTATTGCATAGTTATTTTGTGATATAATGACTTGATTTAACGGTTTTTTGATCGTCAACGGCACTGGCTATCATACCGAAATAAAATGAATAGATACATTGAAAAAAGTTTTTTTTTTTTTCGTTTTTCAAAGACCAAGGTGGGCGGTGGGTTGGTTATACGAGTGGGTTCATTACGCAAGTAAATACGGTATTCCTCACACTATATCTTTTGGAAGACTAATCTTCATATACTCGTTATAACTGATAATTTGTTATATCCAGGTTCGTTATACTGAGGTTTGAGTGTACATCCATTTGTTAATTGATATATATTATGAAGTGCCTACGAATAATGCTGCAACATCTTTGGCATATATTCCAACAATCCTTTGCGATTCGTGCCAGAACGTGCGCAAAACCGCAAACCAGAAGATGTTCAAAAAAAAAAAAAAATGGCAGGAGTCGGGGGAATATGGAAGCTTGCGACGAAAACTTCATAAGCAGGTGTCGCACTGGAACCGACGTTTCGACAAGCGGGCTCCTCTTCTGCAGCCATGGTGAACACGGCCTTTCGAGATACACTCTTGGCTACATGAATCTAAGAAATCGCACATTACCTATAGATCTGTGATCGCGTTAACCTGAACTTGGTTTCATGGCCTTCCGCTTAACTCACTTTTGAAGATCAATGCACATCCCCTGTATCGTTTGCAAGAAACAAGGACGCACTCATATACAAGGATGAACTTGTCAAGTCTAAGTGTTCCGGGACTGTACATTTCACACCCCCCCTTTTTTTTTTCTTCAGACACTGGGAGTGCATTCATGTGGTCAACAGCACGAAGACGCCATGGCTTGTCTCTTTTTCCGACGACTGAATGCGCGCTGCGGAATTGAGCGTGTCCACTAGATGGACACTTTTGAGAGCAGCTCATTAGCTATCACACACTCACCATCTCTGTCCATTTCAAACATCTTCCTTCACCACATTGCAATCCTCTCACACCGTTTCCCTATCCCTCCTCACATCTGCACGATTGGTGCATCCGCTCTTTCTCAGCAATTTATTTTTACGTTGGACTGCTGGGACACACTCCTCCGTATATTTCCCGCACAGGCTGCTATCACAGCTTTTGCCCCATGTCAATCCTACCCCCATGCATTGCTTTCAGCACATTTGCTGGAGCGAAAGGAGAGACAAAATGCTCAATTAAAGTATACAACAAATATCCCTGTAGCTCTGCTTGTATTCGGCAGATTCTAAAAACTTTTGCAGCAGTAAATTCGTGATGCGATAAACACATTTAATGAAGTAATTTGATTACTTAAAAAAATGTTGCAAGGCCATTTTTTAAAGGGGCCGTGCGACACTTCTCTAAGTAGTCACGGAATGGATCCACTAAAGGAGCTTATTGCCTCATGAACTAACCACTGCAAAACTTTTTAGGATCCGTCCAGTACAAGTGGAGTTGCAAAGATTTGTTGCACACTGCAATAGCATTTTCTCTTCTTTCGTCCCGACGAAAGCACTGGAAGCTATGCAGGGAGGGATGGCACGGGAGAAAAAAATATGTCAGGCTCTCCTTATGACCTTGAACACCTCCTTTTGATTTTTTGTTTTCTCAAATGCGTGGCTTCTCAGTGCAATTGCGCATGCACACGTGGACAAGTCGTGGCCTCCTACAGTGGCCCCAGTAACGACCAAGCGCACCCCATGAAAATCAGCCAATGGTTAATACTTGGCCAGTTACACAGCAATTTTTGAGCCTGTAGCGTCATTTGTCGAGAGAAGAGAAAGGAATTTTGAATTGAATTTCAGAATTTATTGCATAATCCAGGTCGCATGCTACGCTATAATATTTGGCTCGTGTGTTCTTGGGAGCCTCGACTACCGATTGGCAGCACTTGCTAATTACGCTCAAAAAGTGCTGCCGGGCTTCTTTAAGAGGGCCAGACTTGTGATGCAGATCACAGGTATGCCTATGTAAAATGCCCCTTCGACACTCACTCGGACTGAGCCAGCATCCTTGTCACACATGGATGCCCAGTAGAACAGCCGGCGAATGCATGCATCGACTTCTGCCCTGCAGTCCGCTTCCGTCTGGCCGTTCATCTCGCGCAAGACACCCGCCATTTCGATCGCCCGCATTTTCAGGTTCTCCGCCAGGTAGTAAAGCACCTGGGCTCGATTATGTGCCGACCGGGACGACCAGCTGAGAAGCCGAAAGTGCAGCCAGAACAACAAAGATTAGTCAAACAGTACAGGACTCAATGGTCAATTGCTTCTAAGAAGAACACTTTGGTCAAATTAAACTTAAAGGAATGCTAAAGTGAAACGATGAGTCAATTGATAAATGAGAATAGACGGAGAAATTTACTTAAAACAGCCATATTACTATATATCGGCACATACATATCACATGTACAAAATAAGGTCATGCCGGGCTAAAACGAATGTGCAAAATTTCGTTTTTTTTTGTGTGTGAGAACTATTGATCAATGGAATAGTCTGCTGCCTGAGCAAGTGCGCCGTGATAATGAAGATGTATTCATTAATTGTTTATAACCCCCCTGCTGTAATGCCTCTGGGCAAAGCAGGGATATGTATGAATTATGAATAAAGAATTTAGACTGACAAATTGTACATCGTAAACTCTAATATCGTAAATTTCACCATCGTATATTTATTTATGCAGAAGAAAATCAAAGTCAGAGCTTCATTTTAAAATTTGACGCTGAAAATTTTTTGCGTCACAGATTTCAAAATGTATTTTTAGTATTTTGGCAGCACTAGCTCAACGAAATTTCCTGAGGCTTGCTATGCTAAGTATCTGGCATAGAGGGCAATGAGCTTCGTTTTTACCAATTGGCAACCATCTACGATCTAAACAACACTGTTGAAATTTATGACATCAGAGCATTTGGTGTGAGGATTTCAAGGTGGCATTGCCACCCACACTTTATTTATCATTTCTCTTCTGCATTTTCTCGCTTACCAAGCATCTTCTAACAGTAAAAGTAGAGTTGTAAGTATTGCGATATTGTAATTTACTAATAAAAGAAATATCACTAGACTCTTTATTGCCCTTTTATGTATGCAGACTAGGCTTCGCCCAGACCACCAAAGCACGGCATCCAACGGTCTCTGCAGCTGAAGCTGTATTTACACAATCGTGGATGGATCATTCATGTGACATGTGACGTAATTCAGATCCCTTCGCAGCCAGCATTAACACGACAGGAGAGGGTTCACACTACAAGCGACGATTTCGGCATTGCTCCCCAAGGATCCCAACAGCTAGTATTCGAGATTCCGTCATTTCACAAATGAGTTCGCGCGGACTGAAGCAGGAATAGAGGAACGGCTGATGTATGGTGACGTAGTACGTAATCCGCAGGCTCGAATCACGATTCGGTTCATCATGTGAATACAGCTTAAAGAAACAGTCCTGCTGATCCTCTTGGCCATATTCTCTGACGACAGTCATCGCTACCCTGCTCTCCTCTTTGTCCCCTAAGCTTTTGAATGCTCATAAAAGGGATGCAAGACTACACTCAAATCTCACTATAATGAACCTGGATATACAGAAATATTGGTTATCACAAAATAAATTAAAAGTAGTCATGCAATAGATATATAATTAAAAATATACCTTTATAACAAATTTTCAAATACAGTAGACTCGCGATAATTCAAACGCCGATAATTCAAACTTTCGCTTCATTCAAACAAAATTTTTTGATTGGCCCTCTATTTTTTCAATGTATTTAGAAGCCTCTTAATTCAAACTTCATCATTTTGTTAATTCATACTTTTTGCAGGTCCCATACTAAAAAATATAAGCTGCTTTCCTGCTGCCGTTTAAAAATTTCTGTGCTTATATAATCTTAACAGTCAAGAAATGAAAAGTAAGCACCTGTGGCCTTCAAGGAAAAAGGCTTTGCAAGTAAACAAAGGTTTGAAACAAAGCACACGCATGGTAAACTGTGATGCTTCTCAACTGGTATGGAGAGCTTCGTGTTGAAGGCACATACCTATAACAATGAAGCAGTTGGCAATTCACGATTTCTTTAAAAGGCCTTATCAGCAGTAAATGGCCAATAAACTTGTTGACCTTACACACTTGCTTGCTGTTCACTGTGTGCAGTTAGGGCTTAAAAAGACTTTAAAAATTTTTAAACGTGATAAAATCAATGCCTAAGCATAATGTGTGGTGTCACCCAACCCAGAGTCACCTGAGAACTTCTGATAATTCAAACAATATTCAGAGGTCCCTTCGAGTGTGAATTAACGAGAGTCGACTGAATATCGAACTTAATTTTGTGTAAGATGCAACTTTCTTATAGTGAGATTTGAGTGTATTCTAAAAGCCTGTGAACACATTTCACAGTTCAAAGGTAAGAACTTCATCTGAAGAAAACTTGCAATGTTACGTAGCTTTCAGCTGTAGGTATGACTTCCATTACATCAAGGTTCAAGTGTGCTACAGGTTGTGTAACAAGAAATAGTAAAGCCTCTTCCTTTTTGTTTGTGTTTATTCCTCTTCCTTCTCAACATTTTGTTATCTATTTCTGTTGAGTTTATTACTTCACCAACACAGTGATGATCACCTCTTGCATTAGTTTACTTTTGAACGCAAACCATGATGGACCGCCTGTAAATGTGTCAAATTGACCACTTTCTGGGAGTGGGCAAAAGGCTATGCAAGGAGATAAGAATAAGAAGCGTGTGGGGATAACATGACCACAGCAGGCACAGGACTAAGTTGAAAATGTGAACAAAAATTGGGAACCCTTAAGCTGCACCTTCAAGAGTCCTTCACTAGGGGCCAGATGTAGCGATAGCTACATCTGGCCCCTAGTGCGCCCTTCTACCGCTAAGTGCATACTAATTAATATGTTTGTTACATACACACACACATGCATGCACACACACACGCACACTGAAGCTTGTACCAGTGCGTGCACGCAAATAGGACAAGCAGGTTTTTACCCAAAAGTTTATTATTAATGCCTTAGTGGGTATGAAGCAAGTGTGCTTGCACTAGTTACCCAATGAGTGTGTTGAAAAGGCTCTGAAAGGCCGCTCTTCAAGATTTCGCTGTGACTGCGCTGCACCTACCGCGCAGGCCTGGCGTTTTTTTTTTTTTTTTTTATCTAAAGCAAGAGACGCATGGCCTCCAAAATATACGCTGCGTGCATGCCATTTCGGAGGTCATAGTCTCACAATGCCTCACACATGGCAGCACATTATCAAGCGTTTGCTGTTTGCTTGATCAACGCCTCTGGAAAAGCATATGCCTTCTGCTAGATGGACATACAGTCGGATCTCGATAATTCGAACTTGAAGGGGCCCGAAAATTTGTTCAAGTTAAAAGAAGTTTAAATTAATGAAAGCTAAGTAAACGAAGCGCTCCCCATGCAGTGGCGCATGTGCATTGAGCTAACACGCGAGGGGGAAACTTTAGAAGACTTATATTTATTCACAAGTCACAGGACATCCGTCATTAATTGAAGTAATTGGTGATGCCCGTTTGCACACGTTTGCCTTGCAGTGAGTCAATCAATTTCACACGCAGCTTGCAAAGCATGTCTACTTTTGCTTCAGCATTTTCCTGGCAAGAGAAGTTGCGCCCGGCAATTTCCAACGCCGACAACCTTCAAAGACGACGACGACTGCATCTCTGCTACTACCCTCTGCGCCAAAGCCGCAGCGTCGCCAGCTTGTAATGAGAAAGGAGGAGCATCTTCAAGTGGAGAGAAGCAGATCGGCATTTGAGGAAAAACCAACACTCCACGGCAGCTTTTTTTTTTTTTTTGCTCTCTTCGCGCACGTCATTGAAAGGAGAAGGGTTACGTGACAGTGATGGGAAAGGAGGAAGCAAGGCACAGCCGCATGAGAGAGAGCCACACTTCGCGACAGCTTTCTTTTTTTTTTCCTCTCTCTCTTCGCACGCGACGTTGGAAAGAGAAGTGTCTTCACGTGGTAGTAGTGGAAAATGGAGAAGCGTGGCACAGGTGCGTCGCAGATCGGCATTTGAGAGAGAGCAAACATTCCATCACAGCCTTTTTTTTTCTTTTTCCTTTCCTTTGCGCGCAGCGTTGAGGTATCGCACGTGCTGCCCCAGGTTTGGGCGGGGTGCTGAGACCATTTTTGGAGCGCGGTCTGTTCGCCAAAGCCACTTCTGTTGCCGAGATCATTTTTGGAGCGCGGTCCGTTCGAATTAACCGTCGCAAGTGCTTGCACGTTTGAATTACCGGGCGTTTTTCGCCCATTGAAATACACATACCGTAATTACTCGAATCTAACACGCACCTTTTTCCCGGTTAACCGAGTTCATAAATCGCATGCGCGTTAAAATCGAGTGCGAAAAAAAAAAATGAATACTGTCATCCTATTGCTATCGGCATTTCCAAAATGGACCGCCCGCTACGTGCGTCGGCATGGTCAACGCCTCCTAGATCTCCGGTGCCTGCCGGATTATCGGCGGTCACTTGGGAAGCCGGTGGTCGTCGGAACTATGGTGATGGCGCCACTCAAGTAGGGGTGTCTTCAAATAGCTTTTTATGTATTTGAAGCTTATATGCAACAAAAACAACATAAAAAAGTTTTAAAAAGGCGTAAATGTAATTGTAATTAACTATACGTAAGTGACGCAGTCATTGAGCAAGCAACTTTTTTAATACAAGACATCCTCTGAATTTAGTAACAAACACAAAAATTGCCGATCTCAAAGGCCAAGTACAAAGACCTTACTCCTACGTAGGCAGCATCGCCATAGATGACCGGCGTTTCGCGCTCATTCCGGCAGGCACGGGAAAATCTAGGAGGCGTTGGCATGGCAGTGTCAGCCATTTCCTGCCTATGTATTTCCCATGATGTGGCACTTCGTACGTGTGCTGAGGAGTTCGTCGTCTTGTAGTTCATTAGCATCGACGGCATGGAAGGGCCGACTCCGAAAATTCGACGAGTGCACCACGATGCCGCTTTTAAAAGAAAAGTCATCGCGTGTAGCAAAACGGACAGAAATCGGGCCGCATCGAGGTCGTTCGGAGTTCCTGAAATGTGCGTGCGGGACTGGCGGAAACAAAAGCAGAAGATTGTCGACAGCAAAGATTCACGCAAAGGCTTCAGTGGACCACAGCAGGGTCGGTTTCCGCTAATTGAAGAGCTGCTCGCTGAGTATGTGCTTGAGCAGCGAGCGGCACAGCGGCCCGTGACGACAGAACTGCTCTAAGTGCGGGCTATGCAGTTAGCTTTACAAAAAGGGCTAACGCGGAGCCAGTTCAATGCGAGCAGGTGCTGGCTAACTAACTTTATGAAAAGGAAAGGCTTTTCCCTCCGAAAGCGAATGGGCATGGTCAAAACTTGCCGGAGAAGTACGAAGAAAAGCTTGACAGTTTTCAGAGGTTCGTCCTAAACTTGCGGCACAACAACGGCTACCTGCTTGGGCAAATCGGGAATGCCGATCAGATGCCTTTTCACTTCGACATGCCTGGCACCACAACCAACGAAAAGAAGGGGGCGAAGCAAGTTCGCATGCTGACATCGAACACGGTAAAACAAGAGTGACGGCAATGCTCCGTTGCACATCAGATAGGCACAAGCTTCCCCCGCACCTTATATTTCATTTCATTTCATTTTATTTACCCTCAGGGCCATATGGCATTATAGAGGGGAGTGGAAATAAAGTTTACAAAGAAAAGAAAAATACAGCATGAGAATATACAGCATTGAAAATACATATTATACAGCAGAATGTACAGCAGAGAAAATACAGCATGAAAATAAACAATGCAACAAACATAAAAATACAAAAGTAAAGAAAAACTCCTGATTATACAATAGTAGCTGTGCAATGACGGTGAACATAATACAATTTTGAGTAACGTTTAGCTCATACAATACTGAGTAAGGTTTGACGGAAAATATTGTTTTTAGTAATAGTGACAATGCCTTCGGGACGGTGGTTCCAATCTACTGATGTACGAGGTATATATGATCGAGAAAAACACTGGGAGTTGCAGGATGCGATCCCAATCTTATGACGATGGTCGATGCGAGGGGATATGTACTGAGGATTAAGGATTAATTGGTTATGTAGGGTGAGATGATGGAATAATTTGTGAAATGTACTCAAACGAGATATTTTCCGACGGGATGCAAGGGAAGGAAGGCCTAGGCTGGATTTCATTGAGCTGATACTGGCGATGCGATTGTAGTTAGAAAGTATGAAACCGGCGGAGTTATTCTGTACGCGCTCAAGTGAAGTAACAAGGTTATCGTGGTAAGGATCCCACACTGATGATGCATATTCAAGTTTGGAACGTATTAATGTTTTGTACAACAGAAGTTTTAGTGCAGAAGGTGCTTTTGAAAAGTTATGACGTATGTAGCCTAACATGCGATTAGCATTATTAGTAATGTATGCGATGTGGGGTGCCCAAGATAAGTTAGATGGGATAAGAATGCCCAGGTATTTATACGAGGAGACTGGATCAAGCGGGAAGTTGCTTAAGTAGTATTTTGGTGGGGTGTTAGCAGATCTAGTTACGCGCATTACCTTACATTTAGCGATGTTTAAGTCCATTCGCCATGTGCTGCACCAAGCTGCTACTTTGTTAAGATCAGATTGGAGGCTTAAACTGTCATTATTACTAGCTATTTAACAAAAAATGATGCAGTCATCTGCAAAAAGATGAATGTTAGAAGAAAGTGAAGACGTGAGGTCATTAATATAAATTAGAAACAAAAGTAGACCAAGAACTGACCCTTGCGGTACACCTGAGTGGACCGCAGCAGATGACGAACTGTGATTGTTAGCAGTAACATAATGAACACGGTTAAACAAGAAACACTCAATGCACTTGAGTAAACTATTGTCAATATTTAGTAGGTTCAGTTTGAACAGTAGTAGTTGGTGGCAGACTTCATCGAAAGCCTTACTGAAGTCTAAAAAAATGCAATCAGCATATGATGAACGGTCTAAAATAGGATGCAGTTTGTGAGTGAAATATATGAGCTGTGTTTCGCATGAAAAATGTTTGCGAAAACCATGTTGTGCTGGTGTGAAAAAAGAATTCTATTCAAGGAAGTTAATGCGGTTGGTGAAAATGGCATGTTCTAATAATTTACAAGAAGTGCTTGTTAACGAAATAGGGAGATAATTTTTCGGAGAGTGTTTATTGCCTGACTTAAAGATTGGGACCACCCTCCCAATTTCCCATTGCGTAGGAATTGTTGATGTATCTAAGGACTGTAGAAAGATTTTTGTTAGTATCACTGCACTATAATTAACAGTGCTTTTCAGAAATTTGGTACCAATATTGTCATGGCCAGGGGATGAGTGAATGGGCAAGTTATCCATGAGTTTAGCAATACCGGAATAATCAATGAAAATTGGTGGCATGGCAATATAATTGAAGTTTTGCACATGGGGTTGGATGACGTTAACAACTCGAGAAAAGACGGTAAGGTAAGCGTTGTGCGCTGCTTTGTAAATCGCCCAACAGTCTTCAGAAGGCGCTAGTTTTGCTGATCTGTAAAGTCCTTTTTTATGGTTAGATAGGCGGTTGATGTAGGTGTTTTACCATGGTGCCTGGTGATTAGAAATGATGGTTAGGTTAGAACCATCATTTAAACGGAACACGCTCCCGAAAGGAGTCGTTTTCCCGAGTAGTGTGATCGTGCGAACCAACGAGAAAAATGGGTGCGCGTTGCAATTGATGTCTTACTTTTTTTTTTTTCGTCGTGGAAACCGAGTGCGCATTACATTCGAGGGCGCGGTAGAATCGAGTAAATACGGTAGCTTTCGCGGTAGAATCGAGTAAATACGGTAGCTTTGACGGGACCTCACCGCGAGTTCGAATTAACCGGAAGTTCGAATTGAGCATGTTCGAATTAATGAGATTCGACTGTAGTTGTTCCTTTTTAGAGCTGTCTGAAAGTTCTTGTGTGTTTTTAGCGGCGATGGCTGTACAATACTGGCCCTTTTCGACGTAATTTCATGGTCTCCCAAATGCGCCTACAAATCGTCGAATGGGGTAGTTTTCGACAAGACACCTGTCAAACAAAATATGTTAAGAAGACTCCTTCCACTACATGGCATTTGTGTAGTGTTTTTTTCCGAAGTAGCTGCAAGTAACATCGTGGCTTTGTGCTAAGACACCTGCTTGTCAAGCGAACGGCCCGGGTTCGATCCTCAATGAAACCGAAAACTTTGTTCTTTAATTTATTTGCTTTTTTTTTCAATTTTTTGCTCACGGACGATCTTTAGCTCACAGCTAACGCCGACGACGTAATTTCTGCGACATGAGCTCTGTAATGCTATCACGTTAAAACACCAGCAGCGTTTAGAGAAGATAGAAGCTGATATCGCTATGCTCAATCGGAGAAACAAGGAACATGCTTTTTTCCCTGCAGTGGCCACACCACATAGTGAGGCTGATGGTCATGACGATGAGGGTGTAATTAATGATCTACTTTTTCAGAAGTGATTATGTTCTGATTTTGTATAAATGAAAGTAAAGTCTGGAGTTTGAAATACATGACAAACTTTTCGTTTGCAAGATCCATCAAGACCTAACAAATATTTTAATCCACCGTTATCAATTTCTACTGTCTGTACTAGCTGCTAGCAATCATAACCAATTTTTTTTCTCTCAATTAGCACTCAAGTTTTTAAAATAAATAAGTAAACAGAATACATTTCTACCTCTCGGAAAGTGGCACAACAAATGGCACAATGAACATGGTAGTGTCTTCAGTGAACCGATGCTCTACAGCAAAACAGAGCACAAACAAGTTAAATGAGCACGAGCTCTCCACTCAGTAAACGAGTACAAGTGTTGACATCACATTTCAAGTCAGGCGAATTAACACAAGATGTGTGACACAGCTCTGTAGTTTATGTGCGCACGTCACTACAGAAGGCGATAAAGAAATACCATGAAGGTGGAAAGCCACGAGATGTAGTGTAAAGACAGAGCTTACGTCTTGAAGCCCACAAGTGCTGCTTCCACCGCATTTCTGACGTCTTTGCGACCCGCCTCGGGAAAGTAGCCCACGGTTCGACCGTCGTGACTGGTCGCAGCGTTGGAGGCATTGGAGGCTGGCCGCACCTGCTGACCGCCGACGAACAGCTTGTACGTCGTGAGTGTCGAAAACTCGTCCCTGGAAAACAGCAGCAGACACTTTGTGTAGCTTTATTATGGCTATTCGTTTGTTTACAAAAATACATTCAGAATATTTCTTGAATACGTTTATGATTTTGAATTTTTCTAAGCTAACTTACCGAAACAAAGTTGCTGAGAATCACTAAGCGTATTTTCATGAAATAGGAAAATGGAAGTTTCTTTTGGCTATGTTGGCGAAGTGCTGCAGGGGTCCACTTAAGTGGTGTTTCCTGGTTGCCTCATTAAGAATCAAGTAATGCAGGCTTCAAATTGTATTCATGCGTACTAGGTGTCCTTAAAGGGACCCTGAAACACCTTTTCAAATAAACATGGAATGAATTCACTGGAAGAGCTTATTGCCTCACAAATTCAACCCCGCAAAAATTTTAGGAATCCGTCTAGTATGAGCGAAGTTACAAAGATTTGACACACGCTGCAATCGTATTCTCTCTAGTCTCGTCCCGACGAAAGCACTGGAAGCTAAGCAGGGAGGGATGGCAGGGCCACTGAGAAGCGTCATGCATGCCCCATGACATTTAACACGTTTTTCTTTTTTTTTTTGCTACGAATGTGCAACATTTTCAGTGTGATCACACGCGCACACATGGACAAGTAGCGGCTTCCCACGGCGATCTCTGTACGAGCGAGAGAGCCACGTTCGAATCAGCCAATGGCTGATAGATGGGCTTGCTACGTGTGATTTTCGGGTATGTTGCGTGATTTATCGAGAGAAAGCAATTTTCAGCTGACTTGGATAATTTATTGTGAGTTCCAGGCCGCGTGCTGTGCTATAATATTTGGCTCGCATGTTGTCGGGAGCCTCTACTACCGATCGGCGGTGTTTTCTGACCATGCTGAAAAAGTGTTGCAGGGCCCTTTTAACAACACCTTTTCCGTGTGAAAAAAAAAAAGAAAATACAGAATACAGTTTCTTCAACACTTCCAATTCAAAAATAATTTCTTCAACATAGACAAGGGCGCGGTCCCTTGAGTAAGTAGTTCCTTGTACGCTGCGCTGATCTCACTCTTACACTCCTTGGCTGTGAGTGGTTTCTGCAGCATTTGTTGGTGCTTGAGCCAGCGCCGGTGGGAGAGGTCACGTGCGTTCTGCACATGGGCTTTACCGACATCGAGCAAGTGCAGATGTTTGCAAAACCTTTCCAAGCAATGCGTTCGGGTAAAAATGTAGCAAAAGACACGATGAAAAAAAAAGAAAAAGAAATTATTTCATGCAGTACCCCCACAGACCTAGAGGCAGCATGCTTCCCAGTGCGAAAAACGGAACTCCTGAAAACTGTAGCATAGTGACGCGGGTGAGGTATCGTGCAGCATTGGCCCAAGCCAGGATAAATCGATATTTTGCTGTTTTTGAGGCGAGAGTGCTGAATTTCGTTTCGCAGGCTAATTTCGCAGGATGTCCTTTCGAAAGCTGGTTTTGCAAAAGCAGTTGATTGTGTACGAAACCGAGACCACTTTCAAGGCAATAGCAACCACTTGCCAGTGGCAGATGCAGTGATACTGCCATAGTGATGTAATGTGTTCAGTTCACTACAGTTACAAACTCTGGTTTATCTGCTTGAAAATTGTTCCCAGCGAAGCGGGAACGCTGACGTGCCCCTTTCATTATGAAGTCCATATCGAAAGAAGGTTATTTCGCATGTCGAGGACAGTTTAGTCGTGTAATTTTGCGTGCCCATAACATGTGTTACGTTTTCCCTATTGTTCGTTGCTGCGGGTACACATGTTCTTTTTTTTCCCCTGCTCCTATCTGAGATAGTGTTGATGTTTTTCCCTTGCTCAAACTTTTTTACCTCTGCGATATACCGTATTTACTCGATTCTACCGCGCCCTCGATTGTAACGCGCACCCGATTTCCACCGCGAAAAAAAAAAACGTAAGACATCGATTGAAACGCGCACCCATTTTTTCTCGCTGGCCCGCATGATCACACCACTCAAAAAAACGACTCCTTTCGGGAGCGTCTTCTATTTAAATATGAGGTACGGGCGAAGCTTGTGCCCATCTGACGTGTAACAGAGCATTGCCGTCACTGTAGTTCTACCGTGGACCGATGTCAGCACGCGAACTTGCTTCGCCCCCTTCTTCTCGACGGTTGTGGTGCCAGGCATGTCGAAGTAAAGAGGCGTCTGATCGGCATTCCCGATTTGCCCAAGCAGGTAGTCGTTGCGCCGCAAGTTTAGGACGAACCTCTGAAAACTGTGAAGCTTTTCATCGTACTCCTCCGCAAAACGTTTCGCATATGCATGTTCCCCTTCGGAGGGAAAAGCCTTTCCTCTTCATAAAGTTAGTTAGCCAGCACCTGCTCGCTTTAAACTGACTCCGCACTAGACATTTTTCTAAGACTAATTGCATAGCCCGCACTTGGAGCAGTTCTGCCGTCACGGGCCGCTGTGCTGCTCGCTGCTAAAGCACATACTCGCCAAGCAGCTCTTTAATTTGCGGAAACCGACCCTGCTGTGGTCCACTGAAGTCTTTGCGTAAAGCTTTGCTGTCGAAAATCTGCTTTTGTTTCCGCCGGTCCCGCACGCACGTTTCGGCAACTCCGAACGACCGCGATGCGGCCCGATTTCCGTATGTTTCTGCACACGCGATGACTTTTCTTTTAAAAGCGGCATAGTGGTGCACTCGAGTTTTTGGAGTCGGCCATTCTACGCCGTCGATGATAATGCACTACTAGATGACGAACTCCTCAGCACACGTACGAAGTGCCGCACATGAGAAACACATAGGCAGAAATGGACGACGCGCCATGCCGACGCACGTAGGGGGCGGACATTTTAGATTTGCCGATGGCAATAGATTGGCCGTAATTTTTTTGTTCGTACTCGATTCTAACGCGCATGCGATTTATGAACTCGCTTAACCGGAAAAAAGGTGCGCGTTAGATTTGAGTAATTACGGTATATATTGTCACGTTACAATGTAACTGTATCCTGCAGACAATGACATACAAGGACGTCAAACTGATTCGAACAACGGCAATACGATTTTATCATTTTTCTCTGCACGCGCATCTTCGTCCTCTTCTGAACAGCGGCACATACAAGTCTGCCAGCATCTATGAAAATAATACTTTCAGAACTTGTACTAGTGGCATTACCTCCCTTCCCAAAGAACATCGTCCCGATGTCGCAACATAATTACCAGATGAAAAGAAAAGACATACGATAAGCAGTACACAAGGGGGTGTTCACTATCACTGTAAGTCTACTCAAGGAAGTTTGACGAATAGTCAGCGTTGGTAAAATGGTTTCATCCTCGAAACATGGAAGATGTGTGGCTGTTGTGAACGGCGGGATTCACGAGCCATGTCCTCGTCAAGAACCTCGTAGTTTACTTCGCTGAGACCGCGGAGAACTCTACAGGGACCAAAATAGCGGCATAACAACTTTTCTGACCGGCACCGTTGTCAATTGGGAGTCCACAACCATACTCGTTCTCCGGGTTGGTAAGAGACATCACGATGACGAGCGTTGTACCGCAGTGAGTTGACGCATTGTTGCTTGTGGATTCGTTCGACTGCAAGCTTACGAGCTGCGTCTGCCAGTCTGATAAATTAGTTCGTCTTGACACTAATCTGGCGGTTGTCTGGTAGAAGCATGGCAACCAGCATTGTAGCGACCTCCCTGCCGTGAAGCAACCGGAATGGTGTGAATCCAGTTGTTTCTCACACAGCGGTGTTGTAAGCGAACGTGACGTAAGGGAGGATGTCATCCCAGTTTTTGTGGTCTTGGTCAACGTACATGGATAGCATGTCGGCGATCGTCTTGTTTAGTCGCTCTGTAAGGCCGTTGCTTTGTGGGTGGTATGCAGTAGTTTTTCGATGTACTGTGCCGCTAAGCTGCATGACGTCTTGTATCGTCCGGGCGGTAAAAGCTGTGCCACGATCAGTTATGACAACTGCTGGTGCGCCATGTCGGAGGACGATGTTCTTCATAAAAAAGTGGGCAGTCTCAATGGCGGTGCCACATTTTAATGCCTTTGTTTCGCAGTAGCCCGTCATGTAATCAGTAGCGACTACAATCCAGCGGTTGCCGTCACGAGACTTTGAAAAAGGTCCGAGTAGATCCATGTCAATTTGTTGGAACGGTTGTGTCGGAGGAGTGACGGGCTTCAAAAAGCCGGCTGGGCGCTGATGTGCTGCTTTACGACGCTGGCACTCGTGACACGTCTTCACGTAATGCTTCACGTCTCGATTGAGCTTAGGCCAGTAATACTGTTGGCGAATCCGGGCCAAGGTACGTATGAATCCTAAGTGGCCTGAGGAAGGCTCATCGTGACAGGCGGACAAGACATCGGCTCGTAACGCTGGCGGGACAACGAGCAGGTATTCAGTCGCGTAAGGGTCGAAGTTTCTTTTATAGAGGATATTTCTGCGAACGCAGAACGATGATGGCGAGCGGGCAAATGCTGGTGGTGGATGCGGCATACGGCCTTCGAGAAATTCGATGAATTGTCGAAGCTCTGAATCGCGTTCTTCTGCTGTTCAGCCAAGTCGGATACACTAACGGCGCAGAGAAAACGGCCGTCAAGATCGTGATCACCTGACGCTGTCTTAAGAGGAGCTCAGGAAAGGCAGTCCGCGTCAGTATGCTTCCGGCCAGACTTGTACATGGCTGTCAAATCGAACTCCTGAAGGTGTAAGCTCCACCTGGCCAGACGTCCGGAAGAGTCTTTAAGGTTTGCCAACCAGCAGAGCGCATGATGGTCGGTAACAACTCTGAACGGGCGACCATACAGGTACGGTCTGAATTTACCTATTGCCTAGACAACAGCTAGGCACCATTTCAGTGGTTGTGTAATTCGCTTTCGCAGATGATAAAATCCGGCTCGCATAAGCAATAGGGCGTTCGACGCTGCCTTGCCACTGAACGAGGACTGCAACAAGGCGATGTTACTGGCGTCTGTGTGTACTTCAGTGTCGGAATATTCGTAATAGTGTCCGAGTAAGGGCTCAGACTGGAGACGCTGCTGGAG